TTTGTCTGTATTTTTAAATAGTTTACTTATTTCCAGAGACAGAGCCGTCATGACAGGGTTTTCATGCCACGATCCTCTTCCAGCCCTGTGGCCAGCCAGGGCCACGGGCGTGCAGGTGCCTTCAGGAAAACTTGGGCCGTGAACCTGGAGCCTTCGCATCTGGCTCCAGCATCTGGCTCGGTTGGCCCTACTGCCTACGTCATCATGGCTTGGCCTTCTCCTAGACTTGGGGACCAGGATGGGGCACGTAGCAGCACTGCCTCCCTGGGCCCACAGTGAGGATCCGGGTATCACTGAGGACACTGTCTACACAGACACGTCTGCACAGCAAGGCTCGTGGGGCACCGCCTTGTGATGTGAGGCCTCAGGAACCAGAGGCCACCATAGGCTGAGGGGTGGGCGGGCTGGGGGTCTGAGGCAGGGAGAAGCAGACAGAAGACGATTACTCACCCAGATAAAAGACAGAAAGACCAGACAGAAGGTGGATTATTCACCTAGCCCTTCTCACAGCTCCCCGCCCAGCCCTTCAATTTCCACCGCATCTAAGACACTGCCTGACGGCCGGGAGTAGGTCAGGGTGTTCCGGCGACACTGAGGCTGGTAGCCCTCACACGCCATGCCAGGCACCGTCCTGGGCACTCAGCACGGGTCACTGCACCTCCCAACGGTCAGTGTGGAGCACGGCACCATTTTATACACAGGGAAACGGAGGCACAGGGTGGGCTCCTGCCCTGCATTACGCAGAGAGAAAATGGTAGCGCTCAAAAGTGGAGACAGCAGACTCAGCTGCTGAGCAGGCTGAGGCCACTCAGAAGCCCAGGTTCGAGTCCCAGCCCACCACGACAAGCTCAGCACAGCGGCACACGCCAGGGTCCCAGCTACTCGGGAGGCTGAGGCAGGAGGATGGCAACACAGCGAGACCCTGTGTGAAACACCACACGAGCATGCACACACACACACGTGTGCACACACACGCACGCACACACATACACAGTACCAAAACATATGGCTCATCTTTAGGCCAGTCATCAGGCCTAGAGCAGGGGAGGGGAAGGTGTAAAATGTTAGCAGAAGAAACATTTAACTTCCTCCATGTTTTCCTCTAAGTGCCTTTACTGGGGCAGTTGGCGGCCGCCACCAGTCTGGGAAATTCTCCTGTGAGCCTAAAAAAGCACTGCTTTTTCAAGACAAATGTAGGGTAAATGTGGTAAGAAGAGTGCCTGCCTCCTGATTTGCTTAGTGAACGACCTGCACAGCCCCCCAGGGCAGCCCCGAGAGCTCTGGGAGGGGAATTAAAGGGTATCACGGTTTTAGAATGAAAAAAAAATGCAGTTTAAGATACAACGCTCACATCACTTCCTGGTCTCTGCCCCCTGGGTAATTATGTTCTTAAATGACGTGTGATATGTCAGTCTAGGTAGCAATCTTCACATCTGGAGAGGCATGAAAGCGTGATCTCTGGTTGGCCCGCGGTTTAATAACCACCTGTTCCATGTTCTATTTTCCAGACCAATTCTTTCCAAATGACCCAGATACAACCAATTCTTATCAAAACTCCAAGTCCAGCCCTGAGCCCAAGTCCTAGCCAAGAGACCATTAAATTAACGAGAACAGTCAGGACACACTGCCTCCAGCCTCGAATGCAATGTTTTCACATCGCAGGGATGTGTGCAGGGATCTGTGTGCAGGGACTGAACACAGCTGCTGCCGGAGCTAGAAACCGAGAGGCGGGCCAGCAGGTGGGTGTGCTCGAGGTGCTGGATCCCGCATGGCTAACCGCAGTTCGTGTCCCAGACTTGGTAGCTTGAAAATCACACTGGACACGTGTGCGTGTGCGCCCAAAATCCTGAGAGAAGGAACGGCAGCGTGGCCATGCCCCCGGGGGTGACTCTCACTTATCCTTTCTCCTCGAGCAGGAAGCCCGGGCAGTGCGGGAGTGCTCGCGAGCCGGCTGGGCAGCGGCCCTGAAACCGCCTCCCGCAGCCAGCCCCAAGCCGCCCGCTCCACAGGGACAAACGCCACCGCCCACAGGAAGTACAACGACCAGGAGATAAGTCGGTCAGGTTTAAGGGCTAGACAAGTGATCCCACGTCTGAACCAGTATTGGGGTTTTTATCTTAATGATCTGAATAGGTATTTTTCAGTTTATTAATCTATTTCTTCCATGAAAGAGGCAGGCCGACAGAGAGAGAAGCACCCTCACCAGACCCTCACGCCAAGAGCCACGGCTGGCCTTGGGCGTGCATCCCCCAGGGCGCTCTGGCAGTCAAACTGACGACCTTCCTCAGGTGGGTCCAGTTCTGTTACCACTGAGAACACTACGTGGCCCCAAATACTGGCTTGTTGAAGTTCACGAAGGGTAGGGGGACTGACCAGTGCCCAGTTGTAGCACCAAAAGGGGAGAGCTGAGACAGCTCCAGCCGTGACGGTGACGCTGACGCGAGCCCAGGTGCGAGCCCAGAGGTCAGCCACGCGGTCAGAGCCCTGGAGGGCAGCCCCTCGGCACGCCTCTGCAAGCCCGGAACAGACGCGCCGTTTCTGCTGGACACTGAACGCGTCCCAGGTGACACTTAAGACAGCCCTTTTGATTCTAACGTCGAAAGCGCTTTTATTTGGGGTTATTAATGTCTATTTATGAACATAGAGATGAGAACTCAACATGTAGGGCCAGCCCTATGCCTAGTGGTTAAGCGGGCCAGCTCCCACAGGCTGCGCAGTTCGAATCCCAGCCCCAGAGGTTTGAAAATGACAGCCAGCGTGTGTCCATGGGTGTACGCCCGAAACCCTGACTGGGAAGGGAAGCAGAGCCGTGACTGTGGCCGACCACCTGCCGAGGGTGCTTTCTCCCCATTTCTCTGTCTCTACGGCAAGCACACATGCCCTCTGGCAATCGAAAAAACAAACTAGCAAACCCTTAAGGGACATTCCTAGGAGTAGGGAAAACACAAGCATTAGAACTGGGGGGAAGTAGTGCCTATTCTGCAATGAAGAAACACTGATGCCAGTCATGGTAACAAGAGCAAAGTTTCCGTCTAGTTTCCCTCAATAAAACTGTGTATGCCCGAGGGTCATCGGGTGGCATGGCCTAACCATGGTTCGAGTCCTGGACCCTGTGACCTAAAAACCAGATGGAGCACGTGTGTGTGCAGGCCCCAAATCCAGAGAGCAGAGTGGAGGATAAGCAGCTGCGGAGCCATTTCCCCCGGGGGAGGCAACTTCTCACTCACCCTCTCTCTTTCCGTCTCGGGCGAGTGCCTGATGATAGCAAAAGCCTAAAAGAGGAAAAAATGAGCATGGACCGAGTTGACACAGGGTGGAGAGGGTGTTCCTCTTTTGCAACTCCCCAGAGAACCGGGGAAAGCAGTGGGTAGAACAGGGATTTTCCGCTGTCTGCCCTCGGGGTGGCAGTCAGCCTGTTAGAGCTCCGGCTCTGCAGGGGGCATGGCTGAGAGCCACTGCTGGAGGCTCCCGTGAGGGCGGTGCATTAGGCCCCCATCGCACAGGGCCGCACCGAACAGCTTGTCAGCAGAGCCCCGACCAAGTCCTGGGCCGGGCGGGGTGGTACTGTGTGGGAGTCACGTGCCCTGTGCCTGCACCTCATCAGCGTGCCTGTCTGCGCTGCACCGTCTTCGACTAGAACAGACTATGGGGTCTGGAAATGGACACGGAGACCACACCGCTGCTTCAGACCCAGAGCGCCTGGGGCAGGCGGTGTGCAGGTCAAGCTCGAGGCTCTGCGAGGCTGACCGCGAGCAAAGGTTCCGGTCCACATGCTCCGCATGGCCCACCTGAGCACGCCAGGCCACGCACACCCATGGTCCGGGGCTAGTCGAGCCTGGGATGGATGGTGGCACCAGGACTCCAGTGAGGGCACGCTCTCACTCGCTTGCTCATGAAGATATAAAGAAATAAACTTACAGAGAGAAAAGACGCAGTATCGGTTACTCGTCCTCCGCTGGGCTGACAGCGTGACCTGGGGAAACCGCGTGGGGCGCCCACCCGTGAAGGACGTGCAGGTGCTCTGCAGCCCGCAGCCCTGCGGCCGAGGGTGACCAGGGAGGCCCTACCCACGTGCGGCAGGTGCCTGAGAGTATGAGCACAGCAACAGCCTGGCCCGGGCTGCAAACAGCTGGAGCGCCATCCGGGGCAGACGCATCAACTGGGCTCCAGCCATACGACCGAATCCCACGCAGTGTGTACATAATCTACCGCAACGTGTATCAAAACCACACCAGGGACCAGAAGGTGGCCTGGAGGTCAAGGCACTGGATCCCACATGGCCAGCTAGCAGTTCAAGTCCTGAACCTGGAGGATTGTTGAGTATGTTGGGAGCATATGCCCGTGCCCAAAACCCAAGAGGAGGAGAATGGAGGAAAAGGGATTGCAGCGTGGCGGCCATCCCCCACAGGGTGAGAGTTCTCACTCCCCTACCTCCTGTTTCTCTCCGGCAAGCACATGTGCCTCACAGTGAACAGAAATAACACAAGACCGTCTTATTACAAGAAGCATATTCGTTTACTCAGGGTCAGGCACTACATGCATCATGTCAGTCTAAGACGCAGGACAGCGGTTGCTCAACACGGGGTGAGGGGATGAAGACTTCCGCCTTATGTAACATTCTGCTTGGTCCAGGCTGGTAGGCACACGAGTCTTCACTTATTGTTGTTTAAGTTTATATATTTTTATTTATCATAAAATACTTATTTGCCTTTAACAGTTTTTTTATACAAAATTCAAAAACCATACAAATTACCCATCTAAAGTGTACGATTAAAAGGGTCAGGGTTCGAATCCCAGCCCCAACAGCTTGAAAAGTGTGCTGGGCATGTGTGCTCGTATGCCCCAAACCCCACGGAAACGGAGAAGGGCTGCAATGTGACCACATGCCAATGCGGGGCGCTTTCTCCCTCTCCCCTCACTCTCTGTCTCCTTCTCTGGCAAGCACACACACCCTCTGTCAATTAAAGGGGCAAAAAACAATAAAAAAATCCCCCCTCTGTCTTTCTCCTTCTCTCCCTCCCTCTTTCTCGCATAAAATTTTTTTTAAAGAATTATGCTAAATTTATTCTGCCTCGGCTCTATAAATAGAACAAAGCCCAAATGACAGCACATCTGTTTACAGCATGGTTTACTGAATAGTTTAAACTTAATATTGAGACCTACTGCTCTGGAATAAAAAAACATTATTTCAAAACACGGCTGCTCACTGAAATACACCGGTCACCCAAACGCTCGGACAGAAACATGCAAGGTGAGTGTTGTTTCCGTGCCTGGTAACACAGCCTGCATTCTGCAGCCCAGGGAGCGAGATGCCATTTCTATGTTCGAGTATTACTGTTTCCAAAACACATTCTATAAGCCAGAGCTGCCATACCTAGAGAGCCCTCTGACGGATCTGGGAAAAGGAAATCCCAGATCCCCCAAGCAGAGCCCCCATTCTGATGCCATTAGTAACAGGCATGATTCGTGGGAGGAGATCGGAATCTATAGTCCAGGAGTTGGGGGGGTCAGCTCCAACGCTCGTGAACGACTGGGAATTCGGACGGCAGATGTGGACACAGCGAGAGAACTGGAATTAGACGGGCAGGCTGAGGACGTGCCGGGCTCGCTGCAACCTCATGGCAGACGTGAAGGGATAGAGAGCTGCTTCTTAGGAGAAGAAAAGTAGCTCCTTGGCATCAAACACCCTCCTGGTGCCCATGCCATCCACGCTGTCGAGATGGCAGTGAAGGAGTTGGAGTGCCGCACAGCTCAGCAGGGTCCGAGGGACGATCGGACTGACGGACTCCAAGGGAAACCCTGCTGTGGGTAAAACCCTGCCGGCGGCATCGCGTGCTGCAGAGAAGCAGGTCACGGAAGGCAGCAGACCTCCTCGTCGACTCTAGGAAACTGCCACAGCCACCCAGCCCTCGGCAGTCACCACCTCGACCCGTCAGCTGCCATCGACACCTGGGCAAGACCTTTGCCTGCACGAGGGTGACACCTCGCCCAAGGCTCAGAGGTCACCTGCTGTTCTGAGCGACGAGGTGTGTGCAAGCCAGTGTGCAAGCCGCTCCCAGACATATGCTGTCCCACACGGACTACGGCACGGTGTGACCTGACTTACGCACTGGGAAACCCAACCCCACACTCGCGCAACTCGCTCTGCTGTGACTCGGTTATTGGAGCGGAGCCACATACCTCCAAGGTAGCCTGGATGAGCTGCCTGCGGAGGGAGGGCGGGTGGAGGGTAGAGGGCGGCACCCACACACTCGGCCTACCTTACCCAGACTGTCACTTCACAGTCCGTGCACTGGGCTGCACTGTCCCCGACCCCTATGGGGACAGTGTCAGGAGGTGGGGCCTCTGGGGGGTGATGAGCTCAGGAGGGTGAGCCCACAGGAGTGGGAGGAGTGCCCTCCTAGAAGGGGCCCCAGAGAGCGGCCTTGCCCTGTGGGCCGCGTGAAGTCGCAGAAAGAAGGACCTCTGTGACCAGGAGGTGGGCCCACAGCAGACACCGGATCCGAGAGCTCGACCCTGGAGTGCCAGCTCCCGCGTCTGTGGGAAGTCCATTTCTGCCGTGTGTGCATCGCTCGGTGGAGGGCATTTCGTCACGCCAACTGGAACAGCCCGCGCTAAGCCCACAGCCACCCTGCACCGTTGGCACCACCTCACTCTGCAAACAAAGTGACAGGGAGCTCAAGGGTCAGCTCACTTGTCCCACAGTGTCCCAGCCCTGGGTTAAGGCTGACGTCTGAGCCCACGTGTTCTGAGGTCAAATGTTCCACGTTACTTTGGCCCTCTCAGAGGATTTCCAGAGCCCAGACCTGTGCTGGGAACTGGAGGCCTAAAAGGTGTCACTTTAGGGGATTTACGAGTGCCAGAGGGGGTCTAATAACCACTTCAGACAACTTTACTCAGACCATCTGAAGGTCAAGGAATCACAGCAAGCATGCTCTTTGCAATGACCTTGCTGAATGGGTGCTTGCGTTTACCGTGCAGCTGTGGAGCGAAATCCAGAGGAATCTGGCCTCGGTTCAGGAGGTAAGCACACGGGAGACATCGTGAGGCTGTTACAGTGCTACATGGGGCTCTCTCAAAGCCCGAGTTCCCAGAATAAATAACAAGGCAGTCTAGTGGGGTGGCTTGTCCAAGAAAAATACAAATTAATTTACTTCTGATTTCTGGCTGACACTTGGAAAGGAAAATTACCGACTCACACAGAAGAGCAAATGTGCAGAGCGTTCTGCCAGACGCCGGCACTCAGACCACAGCCCCACAAGGAAACAGAAATTCCAACTGAGTGCCAAGAGGGACGTCCAGCTGCAGGAGAGCCTGACCCTGGCCTCGAGCTGGGGACAAAAGGGAGTGACCAGAGGCACAGGCCTGACCACGGCAGGGGGCAGCTCTGCTGAGCACCAGTGAGCTGACCCAGAGACAGGCCTGGGACCAACGGCTGAGGCCACACCTCGAACTCCCACTGTGCCTGGCCGGATGGCAGGAGCTTCTCCTTCCCGTGCACGGCCCTGGCCAGAGTGCCCTGGCCACAAGTCCCTCAGCAGAAGGCTGCCCAGACCGAGGGGGCCGAACATTTTGAGGGATGCCACCAAACCATGAGGACAGCAAGACCCACGCTCACCTCCATGAGGACACGGCACCTGCTCGAGGGCTGAGACCAAGGGCGAACCCAAGGTCAGCCAGCCCTGCCGTGCTCCTCACCGCGTGCACACACACAGGGTGGTGGAGCACGACAGCGGGACGAAGGCAGGGCTGGGCTCCAGCCACCCCGGAGGCTGGCAGCAGGGAGGGGCCTGCCCCACTTCATGGCAGGGCATCCAGGCTTTGTGTGGTTTCTGTCCACAGGGCTGTGACCTTCTGTGCTGACAGCACCGTGCCCAGACTTCTGCCCGCGTTCCCCTCACATCTACTGACCGACGTTCCTGGTTTCTTCATCCGACCAGCTCATCCCCTCAGCAGCTACTGCGGGCGATGGCTCATCCTGAAACGGCCCCCATGGCGCAGGGCCCTACGCACTTCCTATCCAGTCTCACATTTGGCTTTTGTTTGGGGGCATTTCCAAAGCATCAGACAGACCTGCATCCGCGGCGTGAGTCCGTGCTGCACCAACGGTTCTGCCTGTGGGTGCGATACAGTTTTTATTTTCTTACCACCACCAGAGGTTTGTCTGTTACCACAAACCAGTGACACGCTGCTTTACTGAGCGTCTCCCAAACGCAAAAGTGCTGGTTCTCCCAAGAAAGCTTTTGCATAACACTTTGCTGTGATTCGCGTGTTCTTAAATGTGTTACGCTGCCCTCATACCTGATTGCTAGCTCAGATTAGAATCTACTGTTCTGCGGTCCATAAGCAGCACTCCCTTCAAAGAGTCCAAGGAAGGGACCAGCAGTTAGCACAATGGTTATGTCGCTGGACTCCCATGTAGTAGACCGCGGTTTGAGTCCTGAAACCGGTGGCTTAAAATCACTCTGGACGCATATGCGTGTGTGCTCAAGATCCCGAGAGGAGAATGGAGGAGAAGGGATTGCGGCGTGGCCATCCCCCCTGGGGGGTGATTTCTCGCTTTCTGTCTCTCTGTCTCTCTCTGTCTTTCTGGCAAGCGCATGCGCCCTATAGCAAAAAAAAAACCTCTCCAAAAAAAAAAGTCCAAGGAAAACAGGAAGAGTTGCCGAAGATGCGCTTAAAGTTCAGTTCAAGTACCTACTACTTCATGGGAGTTCTAGGCAGCTTAGAGCCAACAGAATAAGGGACCCCCTCCCTGAAATGACCCACTGCCTGACTTAATGATTGTCATGGCAGAAAACGTCTTTGCTAAGGAACAAATTCACTGGGCAAGGGCAGGGGGAGGAAATACCCCTGCCTGGGGCCGTGACATCAGCTCCACTGGGGCAGTCCTCACCCCTCCAGTCGCTCGCTCATCCATCCGCTCCTTCCCTCCTGCACCCACCCAGTCACCATCAGCTCGCCGCTCATTCACCGTCGCCTCCCTCGCGCATCAACTCAGTCCTGCGGCCGCTCACTACCACTCCCTTCACTCCTTCACTCACTCACTGGCCGGCTCGTCCCACTCCCACTCACTCAGCCCTCATCCATTCACCCGTTCAACTTCTCTCGAACAGCTGGAGCAGGGAACCGTGACAGGCTGGGGTTAGAAAGATGATAAAGATGCAGAAGAAATAGTCCCTGCTCTCCCGTGGTGTGTGGTCTAGAGGGGGGCGAGACTGACACACCCGAATGAGGAAGAAACTGCTGCATGAAAACTTACAGGCAAAGTGTGAGAACAGAGGTGCAATGGATTCCAACCAGGTCACTGTTGGAAACAGGTGGGTTGCAATAAAAGAGATGATATATATATTTTTTTCTTTTTTTTTTTGGAGAGGTTTTCGCTATAGGGCGCGTGCGCTCGCCAGACAGAGAGAGACATAGAGACAGAAAGCGAGAAATCACCCCCCAGGGGGGATGGCCATGCCACAATCCCTTCTCCTCCATTCTCCTCTCGGGATCTTGGGCACACACGCACACGCGCCCAGCGTGAGTTTAAGTCACTGGGTCTGGGATGCGAACCGCGGTTGACTACGTAGGAGTCCAGCGACATAGCCATTACGCTAACTGCTGGTTCCCCGGAAGAGATGATATTTAAATGAGCTCCTTAAGAATAAGCATGGGGACCAGCAGATGACGTAATGATTACATTGCTGGACTCCCACGTAGTCGAGCATGGTTTGAGTCCTGGACCTGGCAGCTTAAAATTCACACCGGGCACGTATGCATTGCAGGCCCAGGATCCCAAGAGGAGAATGAAGGAGAAGGGATTGCGGTGTGGTCATCCCCCCACCCCAAGGGAGTGATTTCTCGTTTTCTGTCTCTCTGGTGAGCGCATGCACCTTACAGCAAAACTGTCCAGCAGATGGCATAATGATTATGTAGCGGGATTCCCATGAAGCCGATCACAGTTTGAGTCCTGGACCTGGGACTTAAAACTCACACCAGACACGTGCACGTGCGTGCTCTAGATCCTGAGATTAGAATGGAGAAGGAATTGCAGTGTGGTCAGCCCCCAGGGGGTGATGTCTGTCTCTCTAGCAAGCGCATGCGCTCTATAGCAACAATCTCTTAAAAAAAAAAAAAAAAAGAAAAAGAAAGAAAGAAAAGAGAGAGAGAGTAAGTATGGTTGTGGTCTCAGTGTAGGAGAACCGGATGGTTTAACAACCTGTCGCTGGGACTTCCGCCTTCCCGATACTGGGACTGCCACACAGTGTCACGTGTCTGTCTCACTGGCCACTCCTTCCTTCCCAGGCTCATTCGTCTTGGGCCTCCATCGCCCCCTTCCTCCCGGCATCTCTCCCACCTTCCCCTTTGCCTGGCCGTGGCCGGGGGGCAGACTCCGTCTGTCCCGGGGGCAGCTGCTTCGTTGGCCCTGGAGCGGCCCGGCACAGTCCGTACTAGACCCCGGTAAAGCCGCCTCCCACCACAGCTTTCAATACTCGGCACACAGTGATGCTTTAGGTCAGACCACGACCCCGCATGCTCTTAAGAGTCAGAACAGGGTCCCTGAATGGCGACACGAGGACAGAGCTGCAGGCGGGGCCTGCATGAGGACGGCAGGACGCAGGCCCCTTTGCAAAGACCGCCAGCCCCACACTCCACGTGTCTAGCTCACAGAGCCGGTCGACCAGATGACACCACTGCTTTGACGTCTCGCAGACGCAGCCTCCGCAGGCCCTGGTGCGGACTCTCCACGTCCCCTCGGACTACCTGCCGGTCACTGCAGCTTCGGGGAGCGGCAGGAACCTCTGTCCAGGTGCTGGGGCCACAGTTCTCACCTGCTTCTCCCTCATGTCCATCATCTAACGCAACAGTAAGGCCCGCGCATCCTCACACCGACGTCTGCACACACTGTCCACCTCTGCCACCACAGCCTCGTCAGGTCGTCCTCGCTGTCCGCCTGTAACGCCAAGTGCCTCTGCCCAGTCCCCCGTGCCCAGCCCGTCCTCGGCCTTTCCCTTGCGCGGCGGCCAGCAGGGCCTTTCCACAACCAACCTAATCATGCAGCATGTGCTTAAAGCCTTCTGACCACGTCCCAGGCACGAGGCCAGGGCCCACTCTCCTTCCCTGCACTGCAAACCACTTGGTGGGGCCAGCAGGTGCCCTGGTGGCTAAGGGTGCTGGACTCCCACATGGCCGACTGCAGTTTGAGTCCTGAACTTGGCGGCTTGCTTTCTCACTTCTTTTCTCTCTCTCTGTCCCTCTCTGGTCAAATTAAAAACAAATAATGAATACAGTTAAATAAAATAATTCTTTTTTAAAAAAACCCCTTGGGGGCACCATGTGGCTCTCTGGCAATACCACATTCATTCCCCATTCCCCGCATACAAAATTAATTAATTAATTCGTCCCCCACTCCCCCAACCCCGGGCCTTTATCCCAGGGCTTCCTAGTTGGCTTCTCTCACCACCTGCATCTCAGACCTTGGCTTAGTTACCACTAGCTTTTGTTTTCTTTTGTTTTGATTTTTTGCTATAAGGCTCATGTGCTCACCGGAGAGACAGAAAGCAAGAAATCACCCCCCCAGGGAGACGGCCACACAGCAATGCATTCTCCTCCCGGGATTTTGGGCACACACGCTCATGCACCCGGCATGAGTTTTTAAGCCGCCAGGTCTAGTACCTGAATGGCAGCAGACTCTGTGAGAGTCGTGATGTAATCATTCCGCCATCGGCTGATCCCCGATACCTGCTCTTGAAGAACATCCCCCGTGGGGCTGGTAGGGGGTGTGGTAGTTGAGAGCTGGACTCCCACGTGGCAGACCACAGCTGGAGTACCTGACCTGGCACCTTGAGAATCACCCCAGCTGCATGTGTGTGTGCCCCACATCCCGAGCGGAGGAAGGGAAAGGCAGGAACGGGCCACCCCCCGGGGAATGATTTCTCACTTTCTCTGTCTTTTTCTCACTCTGGCAAGTATATACACTCTATGGCAAAAAAAAAAAAAAAAAAAAACTCACCCCGGGCCCATGTGTGGGCGGGCCCAAGACCCCACTGTCCCCAGTGGGGCTGGCCAGTGGCACAGCCGTGAATCCCAATGTCCTGCAAGGCTGAGCCATGCGGGATGCCCTGGGTTCACGTTCGAGGACCTCCTGAAAGTGCTGGGCATGCAGGTCCCTATGGTCCAGGGAGGGCTGTGGCTGAAGGTGGACCTGGGGCGGGAGCCCAGTGGGGAGCACTATGTCTCTGTCTCTGTGTCCCCCTCAGTGCGTCTCTCTCACTCACGGAATAAATAAACAAACAAAAAGGAACCCTGGTCCCCAAATACGAAAGTAGCTACTTTGTCATCTTCCATTATTATCCCGTAGTGTCACTTATCCATAGACCACCTGTCCCATCTGCTGCTTTCATAAATGCTTCACAGCTGTTGGTGTCCCCGCCAGAATGTGGGCTCCACAAGGATGCAGACACCCCTCACACACAGTCGCGTCCTCGGTGCAAAGACGGCAATGGTGCCGGTGGGCAGGCCGTGCGTATCTGCTGAGTGGGTGGCAGGAGGGGACAGACACGAGGCGGGCCATGGCAGGGCCTGGCCCCGGCCTGCAGGATGTCGGTCACTGATGAAGCCTGTCCACCACTGGCCCCTTCTCCGGGGTGATGTCTCTCAGCCTGGGTCCCTAACTGCCGCTGCCGTCCAGACATCCCCAGGAAGGCTCCATCAGCCCCTGGAGGAGGTGAGAAACTCCCAGACTGTCTGTGGAAACAGCTCACAGCATCGTGGCCACCTGGCCTGGTGTGGCTAACCCATCTGCCTCCAGGAATGC